CATCCCAAGCTATGTGGGAGAATGATATTGGGAGGATTGAGGTTCCAGGTCAGCATAGGCAAGTCATGAGACTCCATCTCAAAAGAAAACCTGGGTGTGGTGGTACTTGTCTGTCATCTTAGCTACTGCAGAAGCCTGAAATATGAGGATAGAGTCCAGGTCAGCTTGAGCAAAAAAATGAGACCCTGTCTCCAAAATAACTAGAGGATAAAGGGCTGGAGGCATGGCTCAAATGGTAGAGTGCCTAGGCACCTAGTAAGTGCGAGCCCTGAGTTCAAACCACAGTACAGCCAAAAAAAAAAAAAAATCCGTTCCCTTCTATGGTTGCTATGGTCAAATTCCTCACATTGTCAAGTACTCCCCTCTCCCATTTCCCATACCCACACTTCCCTTGCTAACAATTCCAGCCATATGCCCCCTCCCCCATATTTTATATATCAAATGACTTGAGGTTCCCCTAACTGAATTTGCTACGAATATATCCCCCATGCCATAGCTTGTTCTAGTTCCTCTGCCTGGAAGCTCTCCCCTTCTTTCTAGGCTTAATGCAGCCTACCCCACAGGTTCTTATAATTCAGGGTATATCTCTATTATGGCATTTTACCAAGAAACTGAAATGATCAGTATATATGCCTATCCCTAATAGGCTCTGAGATCCCCCAGGAAGCAAGGGCTCTGCTTATATCATCTCCTCTATTTCTGGAGCCTAGTACAATGCATGTCCCATGGCAAGTATCCATATATCTTTTTAAAGTTGGTATTCTAAAGAGCTCAGTCCTTTGGTCCTTGTCTTCGTTTACATGCTTGCGGACCTCATCTAGTCTTGTGGTTTTAGTATTATCTATTAGGCCAATGATTCCCAAAGTTTTCTCTCCAGCCAGTCTTCTTTTCCAACTCTTGCCATGTCAACTAAGACATCTAATTGGCACTGCCAACTCAGTTCAACCAGGAACTTCTAGTTGCTCCAACTCTGTTCTATCTGGAGTTTCTTATATCTGTTGGTGGCAACTGCATCCTTCCACGGGCTCAGGTAATAGCTTTGAAGTCATCCTGATTCTTCTTTTTCACTCACATGCCATATGTTAGGAAATCTTGTTAGCCTTATCTTTAAAATATATTTAGAACTCAACCATTTCTTGCAACACCTCTGCCGTGCCTGGCCCAAGTCACCATTGTCTTTACCTGGGTTACTGCTCTGACTCTATGACTGACCATACCCTTACCGCCCCATGTTCCACTCTGAACATAGTAGACAGAATGACTCTGTCAACATAAAGTCAGGTCACTTGCCCCTATCTTCTCAAAACTCTGCAGTGACTTTCCATTTCATTCAGAGTAAAAGCCAAAGCCCTTATAATGGCTTATAATGCACTACAGCTTGAAGTTCCTCTTTCTATCTCCAATTTAATCTCCTATTAGTTTTACCTCTTGCTCACTCCATTCCTGCCAACTCCCCTTACTCCTGCTTTTACATACCAGGTATATTACTTCCTTGATCTGGAACTCCCTTCCTTCAAATATACCTCATCTGTCTTCAAATATCATCTTCTCATTAAGGACTACCTTTCTACCCTATTTAACTTTGAAACCCTCTACTTCATGTCCTTAGCATACACCATCTCCCTTCTTTGCTCTATTCTTCCCTTCTCCATTGTAATTATGGCAGACAATATTATATTATTCAAAGACTATATTTTCCAATATCTTCTGTTCAGTATTCTTCTCTAGAATCTGGTAACTGGTCTTCCTTCTCATCAAGAGATGAGATGCCTCTAGAATGAGGTAGTTTTTACTTGCTTAAACCCAATAAAATGTAGTAGGAACAATGCAGGTCTGGGTTGCAAAAGTGATACACTTTTCATCTCGTTAGCTGGGAGGTTCACTTTTGGAGCTCTGAGCCACCTTATAATGTCCAACTGTTAATGAGGTTATCATGCTGTAAGGAAGCCTGGGCTACCTGAAGAGGCCATATATAGGTGCTCCAGTGGAAAACACTGATTGAGAACTCAGTTGACAGCTTGAATCAGTCATTAGACACAGCAGTGAAGACACTTTCAGATGACTTCAAAGTAGCCTTAGATCTTTCCCAGTCAAGGCTCTAGATACCATGAAAAGATATAGACTGTACCTCTTACATCCTGTTCAAATTCTTAACCCACAGAATCATGACTACAGCATATCAGCTGTTTTATGTTGCTCTGATTTGGAGTAGTTTGTAACAGAGAAAACAATATTTTTTACTGTCTGTTATTACATTTGCTAGTTTATTTTTAAGCCTGAGTTTATTTTCTCTTTCTCTTGAATCTTTATTCTGTTCACTGTTGTATCTCACATACCTAGAATTGTTGGCTGTAGTAAATAATCTGTAAATATTTACTGAACAAATTTGTGGTTGTGCAACTGAACTGAATTTTGAAGACACAGCTTGTTAAAGTTGAGAGGTCCTTTAGATGTCAACTTGTCAAACCCACTCATTTATATGAAAAAATGGAGGAGGATAGGGAAGTGACAGGTAACAGACAGCACATGGGCTGGCATGAGAGGGAACTGGAGGCTAAGGAGTCCTGTGTCTACAATGAATCTTCAAGAAGATCTGTGACTCAATTTTGAGATTAAGATTCTAGATATCACAGGAGCCTTCATGATCAAAACAAAATCCAGATCTATTCTAAGAAAGTGAACTAGGACATTGTGGAAATAGCACATTTTCATTCAGTAATGCTTTCTAATTAACCTTTGGTTAATCAGAAAATGCTGTTAACTAGAAGCTAGGTATTCCAGCTAGCTGATTAATATAATTTGAAGTAGTTGAGGGTAAGTCTAGTCTCATTAGAAATATTTCTGATCAAAGTACAAATGATGGAATAATTTGAATAATGTCTTGTTTGCTTTACTGTAAAGAAGGTCTTATCCATGCTAGAATGTTTGGAAGGTGCAAACATGTATAAAGAAGAAAATTTGAAAAGCAGTCCACCAGAAAAGAGTGGGTGCTTTTAAAGAAAAGTACTGGAAGGAAATGCACTAAAATATTAAGGACATTTGTATTCTGTTCTTGAATTTTAGATTGCAAGATCTTAAAATAGGTGTTTCTTTAGTCACTTGTCCTCCTTTTAATAAACCATGTATCTCCTCTAATGTTGTTTGAAACTTCAAGACAAATTAATATGACAAATGACTTATCAAACTATCATGTTGAATATGCCTTATAAGAAACACACCCTCTTCTGATATTTGCTCAACAAATAGATTTTCATCCAAGTGCATCAGCACACACACATGCCCTCTTCCCCAGGAGATGGAACCATTATTCCTCCAGGAAATAAGACCCAGGAGTAGAAGGTAATTCTTGCAAAATTTGTAGACTAAGTATATGAAAAAAAGTTATTTTAGTTAGACCAAGACCATATTTTAAATTAATGGCAGGTTCTCCTGTGCTGGTAATTACTCACATCCATTGGCATTAATGTTTTTGTTCTCATAAACATGCCCCTTGCCACCATGTTTTATACTCTCATAAAGTTTTAGGACCAGGCAGGTCCTTAAAAATCACTTTATCCAAATTCTTCATTCAACTAATAAAGAATTTTAAAACTGAGATAGCAAAATGATATCTTAACATCACACAATTTGCTCCAATGGAATCCAGCTGTCTGGACCCTAAGTTTAGCAGAATTTCATGACTTCATATGACTTTAGAAATATTACTTTGTAAGCTTTTTCTTGAAATACAGTCTGAGAGTTAAACTTAGTCTGAATTATCAAGAATTCTAAATGTGTGAGGTCTGAGCCAATGAGTTTCCACTGCACACAGTGAAACTGAACTGAACATATCTAGGACACATGCTACATGTGAGAGAGGGACAGAGCAATGAAAAAAACAAAATATGAGTGTATATAACTCAGAGCAAGGCATGGAAGATGCTCAAGAGGTATTTGGGAAAAAGAAAAGGAGAGGGAGAGAAAGAAGAATGGGAAAGTGAAAAAAGAAATGCTTGTTTTCAAACCTGGATGCAGCTGGATCCCATCTGTACCAGGAAAGTTGCAGAATTCCTCTGTGGGAAAGAACTGCGCTTTGGATCAAGAAAACCATCTTAATGGGGAGGGTCTCTCCTACTTTATTATACTTTTTGTTTGTAAAAAGTGAAGTCTAATGGGCAAGGTGTAATACTTAAAGGAATGAAACAAAGGAAGGTAAATTTTTCTGCATAATAAAGCAAGGGGAATGTGGGAGTCCTTCCCCCAGATGCTGGGGTGTAGTGGTTTGAAGACATTAAAAAGGGCTTTGGGTAGGTGAGTGGATAGAGACCTGTCAGACCAGAACCTTGGAAGGACTTACAATGATATGGATGGTTAAGGACTTATAAAAATGATAGTGTTGCATTCAAGCACTTTCTGTACTTTGTTGCCGTCTTTCTCTGTTATACCCCAAGCCATGGTAACGCCTACTACTGCATGTATATCCTTCGTATTCTGGACACTTTGGTGAGGAAGGAAAAGGATGCTCAACACAGGAGTAAGGAATTGGTGCAGAAGGAGGGGCCAGCAGTCACTAGAGATGAGACATTGCCTTGGTGGTATGTGGTAAGAATAGCACAGAAGCATGAACAAGGGACAAGAGGTAACCAGGAACAAGCAGGCATGCCAGGGAAGGAGTCCTGAGCTATTTTAATCTTCATATTGAAGACTGAATACTAAGTATAGAAATTTTGGAGCTAACTGGGTTTGAGGAGGGAGAGAGAGAGAGACAGGCGGAATGGAGGTATTAAAATCTTTTATCATGATGCATCTAAAATTTAATGTGTATACAAATCACTTACAATTCTGGTTAACATGCAGGCTCTGCCTCAGTTGACCTGCTGGGCCTGAGATGTGGCATTTCTACCACATTCCCAGGTGATGCTGCTGCTGCTGGATGGGGATCACACTTTCAGTAGCAAGGCATTAGCCCCCAAATATACCTGTGAACTCTCAGGGAGTCCCCCCACAGACTGGTCTCTTACCTCATATTCCTCCTTGAACCCGTAGCCTTGACCTCTCTTCATCTGAGTGATGTGTTGCAGCAGGTCGGCCACCCGGATGGCCGGTTGGAACTGGTCCCGGGGGTAACTCATCTCCACAGGATCACATGTCCGGTACGGGTGAGTCTGGATCGTGAGGGTGGGCTGGGAAAGTTCCCCACGGCTGCCATCTGCTTCAAAGAGGAGGTAGAACAGGCCATCACCTTGGGAAGCCTACTCCTTTTTTTTCTTTCCTGCCTCCCCCAGCACAGCCTGAGGAGGGGAGAAGGAACTAACTGTTACTTAACTGATTGGGAAGCCTTAGAAAGACTAGAGATATATGGCTTCTTTGGCCTGGCTATATGGGTAGATTTAAATACTAAAACAGCAAACAAACCAATGCACACAGTAACCCTTGGTTCGTTTCAAGTTAAGGGTTCACATTGACAGAATGAAGACAAAGGGCCAAGTTGGTTGCCATCTCTTGCCTGTCTTGGATCTTTCTCTAGGCTTGGCAGGACTGCCAGCCAATTTCAGAACCAGTTAGAAGCCAGACAGCTAACTAATGGGGGCAGCCTCCTATTTAGAGATCAGGATGCCTAGAAATAGTCTAGGATGCTGGTCTGTAGGCAAGGAGAAGGTGCTTGGGGATCAGAGCTGCATATCTGATTTCAGGCCAGTTACTGCATCCCCATGACCTGACTTCTCTACTAGTTTCTTTCCTTTTGGTTGTGCACTGGGAAGAGTTGGAGACAATCTTGGCCTCCCAGTAGCTAATAGAGACCCTAATTCTCCAGCTGATCTCTCTAGCAATGGATCTCCAAAAGAAACCACTTTCTTCCTATCAATGTCACTGAACTCACCTTGCAGGTTTTCCTGAGCCTCTTCCTTTAAGAGTCCTGCCAGCTCCTTGCCCTATGCTTGCATGCTGTATCTCACCTCCTTCATGTATGAGTCATACTCTCCCCTGATAGGAATCTTTGTACCCATTGAGTTGCTTTAACTACATTCTGTTGGTTTGGTTGCTCTGGAAACTGATGCAGCTCAGATTGGCTTTGAATGCCTCTGCTTCCTTAGATCAATAAAATCAAGTTCTTGCCTTACCACCTCCTTGCCAGGCCTATGACATCAGTCATTCAGAACCAGCTTATCTTTAGCACCATCTACATTTAGTTTCCCCACCTCTTCTCAAAGATGTGGATAGTCTCTGCCCTGGGCCATCCTGTCTGTGACATGCACATGATGAGGACTGCCAGATGTGGCAGTTGATGTGTGTCACACAGAAGTTTCCAGATACTGTGAGGCACCAATGCAAATATCCATGAAGTCTGTGCCATACTCATTTCCTGGGAGGCTTAGCATATATTCCTGATTTTCTCCAACTTGTCTTTTCAAAAGCCATGTTCTCTTCAACTTGTTTACCTCCCATGTCACAATAATCCTTCAGACTCTGCCTATAAAAGCACACCTTTTCCAAGGTGACCAACTGGTCCCAGTTAGACTAAATGTTTTCAAGTCCAACATAACAGGAAAACCCTTAGTCCTGGGCCATCGACAGTGTTGGTCCCCTTCATGATTTCACTTATATTTGTGATGGAGTGGGAGGTCAAGTTCCCATTCTTCCCCCTCTGCCTACACTCACCTGTTACCTCCTCCAAGGGAGGAGGGGCTACTTATTTGATTGGCTTGAATTGACACATGGACTGGTCATACCTAAATAGTAGATGAAGTTGCTGTGTGCTTAGTGTGGTTTCTGAAACTTCCTTATTTAATGTGGTCAGTAAACATAACCAAGGTTCAGCTGGCCCAGTGGGATCAGCCTAATTATCTGTGAATTGCCAACAGAAAGATCTTGGGGATACAGATTTACACCCAAGGAGGAAGGGCCTAGGTTAGATGTCAGCAAACCTTCCTGGCTGCATGTAAGACAAATACTGCTTACTATTTTCCCTTGGGACTTTAGGTAATGGGTAGATACATCTTCACTGGCATTGATTAAATGTAATGTCTGGAAAGCATGGGGGCTGCTTCTCTTCTCTGTCACACCCTGGTGACTACAAGTTAGACTATTGAGAATGCACTCTGTGACAAGGACTCTGCTAGGCAGAGGTGATACAGAGAGAAATACAGATTCTACCCTTAAGGCTTGATGGTCTGGAATGCAAAACAGACAAGAAGAACCATCTGAAGCAAAAGAATAGAACTTTGAAGGTGAAGGCACATTTAGATAAGAGCAGAGAAGTTGATATGAAGTAAAAGCTACGGGGCAATGCTGAAAGAGATAACATGAGGTGGATCCAGAAAGGCTGGCAATGTGAAGACTCTTGAAGCCAGTGTGAAACTGTTGAAGGCTTTCTTGAATTCCTTCCTTTAGCGACTCACATTGCTTCTTGTAGGTGTCCCAGCTGTCATGGACTGAAGGCATCCTTCCAGTAAATATCACTCCTGTGGTGGGTGGTGTGATGAGGTTGGAGATTGAGAGGAAGGGAGTACTTGGGTTTGAGTCTCTAGATGCCACACTTCATGATTCCCATGAAAGCATGTGCCTGGGTCAGTGCCTGGAGCCCTGCATTTCCACCTAAACCATCATCATCACAAATGGAACAGGTGGCTTCAGAGTCCCTCACTCTCTCAAAGGACCTGGGACATGGGCTGCATGGGAGACCAGCTGCCTGACAGAGGCAGGATTTTTAGGGATGGGTACCTGGAAAATTTTTGTGAGTTGCTAAATGTTTCCAAAACGAAACAGCTATCAATATGGGTATTTTCTCTAAACACATTGCTAGACAGACTGTAAACTTGGTGTCAGCAAAACCAACACTGGAATGGAAAATAAAATGCGCTTGGGATTTAACAACTTGTATTGCTGTAACATTTGTAATAATGTCAAGGCCAGTGCTAATGATGCTATGAAGACTCGGAACCAAGGGATTTTCAAGGTTTATTAATTCAACTGGTTGGACTCCCTTTTCCAATGTATCTTACCTCACCTATTCCCTTATTAACCTCCGATAATGCACAAGTGATGCCTTTTATCACACCCCATTTCACCAGACGCACTATACTTAATTTTCCATCATTAGGTTTAATGAAAACCCAATTTCACAACTCACTTCTCTCAGGAACCTACAAGTAATGCTACGTTTTTATCAGCCCCAATTAAAAATGTTATGATGTTCCTATTCAAGAGGGAGTCTTAAAACTAATGTGTGATTCTGCCGCTAATTCAACAAGGGCGCTAGAATTCACATGCTGCTCATAAAATGCAACTCAAGCCAGCTGGCCCAGGGACAGAACACTTTCCATTTTGCTCCTCACCACACCTTTAATTTTTGTGTTTCCCATTTATGGGTCTTGCATGTTTATTTATCACGTAACAATATTTTGGATTTCTTTTGTATTTTTTAGTATAGCTGTTGCCTAAGTCCGTCAGTTCCTCTGCAGTAACTCTTGTCACTGCCTGCAGGAAGCTTGGAGATGGGTTGAAGAAATCTCATTTATGAGATTTTGGGTCTTGACTGTCTCTGATTTCATTTTTTCTCTCTCTCTGCTAGTTCCTCTTCCTTTTTCTTAGGAACCTATTCTCTTTCTCTCTCTCTCTGTCTTCTTCCCTCTTCCTCTCTCTCTCAGTTCCCTCTGCTACCAGCCACTTAGATCCCCTTGTAGCTCCAGCCACACATTCCAATCACTCCATAGGAATTGCCACTCCAACTGGTCGACAAATGCTTACCAAGTAACCTATATTGTACAAAGCACTGTGTTAGCTCTTATATACATACAGGAAGGGGGAGGAAGGTGTGTTTCAGGAGAGAGAAGCACACCACAGTTCTTGAAGGAGGAGAGAAGAAAAGATAAGCCACGCACAAACAAGTCTGACAAAGATGAGAAGGGACAGGCACCTAGAGACAACAGGAGGTTGATGTGCTCAGAGTTAGGCATCATGGAAACCTGCCTCAAGCTTCACAATCTACCTCTGTGGCTCTTGCCATCATTGTGTACAATCTATATTAGTGATGTCTTATAGAACCTTTCTGTGACAATGGAAGTGTTTCTGCACCTGTGCCCTGCAATATGACAACCACTAACCATATGTGACTAATGTGACAGAAGAGGTGAACCTTAGATTTTGTTTAGTCTTAATTGATTTCAACTGAAATATCTGCTTGAGGTTTATGGCTACTGTACTGGACAGTGCAGTCTTAGAGAAAAGAATAAAGTCCTGGAGTCCCTAATGGGGCAAAAACATCTATGGGAACACTGTCCAATGGAAATACAATGTAAGCCAGGTGTGTAATTTAAAATGTTCTCATAGCAATATTAAATAAGGCAAAAAAGCAACATTAATCTTAGCACTTGGGAGGCTTGAGGCAGGACGATAGTGAGTTCCAGGCCAGCCTAGGATCCATAGCAAGACTCTGTCTCAAAAACATGCAAACAAACAAAAAATAAAAGAAACCCTAATACATTTTATTTAACTTAATATATACAAAATAATATTGCAGCATACCATTAACATAAAAATTATTAATATGTATTTTATATTCTTTAGTCATGCAAAGGCTTTGGAATCCAATGTGTATTTTATACTTACAGAATATTCCCATTCAGACTAGCTGTAATACCATAGTCAACAGACAATGGGACTAATGGCTACAGTAATAGACAACGCAGGTGCACACAGACTTATCCAGAGCCAAAAAAAGTTCTAAAGGGATCTAATTTAGAGCTTGAGTGAACTCTAAATAAAAAGACATTGATCCTAGTGTAAGACAGTGCTATCTTCAGTACTATCCAATAGAACTTTATACAACTATTGACATGTTCCATATTTGCACTGTTCTAATATGGTAGCCACTGGACTCTTGTGGCTATTGAGCACTTAAAATATGGCTAATGTAACTGAGGAAATTAATTTTTATTTTACTTTAATTTCTATTAATTTAAATGTGAAAGGCCACATATGAGCAAAGGATACTGTAATAAATAGTGAAGATCTATATAATGATACCTTCAATTTTTTTTCTTCAAATTAATTTCTTATTTTTTAACTTTGCCTTGTTATGAATGATAGTGAAACAAAATCACGGGTGTGATGTACTAGCTTTGTTTTAGTGTTCACTAAAATGTTTGCATAACTACTTAAGAAATGATCTGCTCATGTCCTAAGAGAGGAAACCAGACTGCTGTTTGA